GGATAGCAGTGGGTTAATTTCATTTTGAAAAGAGTATAGGATTGAGAAACCTATTTATAAAATGTAATAGATTAGTCATGTGTATCTTAGAAAGGAACTCTTCAAGTGTACCACTTCTTTAAGGTCAAACTTTGGTCAAGTACTGATAGAGTCTACAAAGCAAATTATTTGTTTATTTCTACTTTTTAGCATTAATTCTGAATGCAAAGACTAAATTATTTGTAGAACTAACTTATATTTAGTCAAGAACCTATACACACATCTTATTTTGAATATAGTTCAGGCGAGAAACAAACAATGATTTAACTATACAATATTGAACCGTTTATTGACTGTGTTAAGCTCAACAGAACTTTCAAATCCAGCTACCCAAGTGACTGTCAATCAGAATTAGTAACTTGGGCAATATATTTATTTTAAGTGGATTTGATGGATATTTTACAAGGCTGACTCCAATTGTTTTCTTTGTAGGTATGGCTTTCAAGGTTATTGAAAGATCATAGTACTTGGCTAACTTTGACTACATTGGCAGTGAATTATATTTTAATTGATTAAAATAACATTTAAAATAATTTAGCAAAGCTAGTAAAAGATTTTGAAGTTAATTTAAACAATTTTAATTTTGTTTTACATGGCTCAGTCAAGGTAAAAATATGTTGAAACAAGACCTTGTTTTAATGTGAAGCAATTGTGAAATCCTATCAAAATTATAATCTAAACAACCCAAAGATTGCCACAACGGTGTAAAAAGTGCTTCATTTAGAAATGAAAATAAGCAATACCATAAAATCTGTGACTTACTAGACACAGAAAAGGATTTTTGTTAACTATACTAGCTAATATATTTTTCAATATTAAATAAAAATAGGGGAGTGCAAAAAATTGAATACTTAGACTAATTTTGTGGTGCCTCAGTTCCAGTTATCATGTAAAACAAACAAAGACATGCAAGATAGTGTAATATTGTTTAGGAATAATATGTATACACTATAAACAAATATATAATCCCAAAATGGAAGATTAATGGGTAAACAATTTATCAATAGTGATGTCGCGAACAGTTTCAACATGGATGCTGTCCAGGAAGTAGGAGGGTCTGGGAGGGAGGGTCTGCCGGAGATTGGCAGGGATGTGTCAGCTGACCGGAGTTCGCCGCAAACCGCGGCGAACCGTTTGCGGCAAGTTCGCGAACGGTTCGCGACATCACTATTTATCAACACTTATTAAAAACAATATAAAATTAATTAGGGATATTGCACATAAGGATAGGTATCTCTGCCCCTTACTGGAAATTGGTGGTGAGTATATGCGGTATCAATCCCTGCTACTTACAAGCGCATTGACCTTCAGATGGTCAACTATAGTTGTTGAGATGACAATCCAATCTTCTGTCTCCCAGTAACCAGTATCTCTGGGTGGTCGGGTTCCAGGCAGGATCTCTGATAGTGTCGGTCTCAATCCCCAGTGTCTTTCTCTGAAAAGTATAAACTGTTTCGCAGCTTTTAAGAGCTCCGCCCCCCTCTGGCATTTCCACGCATGTCTGCCTACGGCTTTGTCAGGACTTGAATATAGTTCACTCCATCTTTGTTGTGGATATTTATGGGTAACTTCCTTTCAGATTGACTTCACTCTCATTGGTTATTCTCGATGTATTATTTGCATAATTATGTGAGTCTGCGGACAATTACGTGTCACGGCGGTCATTAAGTCTCTTAAGTATATTACTACCTTGCATAGTTATAATACATATCAACAATACAACCTAAAAAGCATACATTTATTTGTATAAAACCTTTTATAGCAAAATCACAACATGTTTATGTGGCTTAAATACCTGAAAAAAATATATTTAAAAATCCAATATTAAAAATTATGCATTTGCAATTTAAAAAGACAGTACTCATAATGTAATGGTACCACTATAAAAACTTAATACAAAGTGGCACAACTTAGGTGTTCAGAACAGCATAGACAGTAAACATTAAACATAAAATTAACTTAGATATTAAAGTGCAAGTTTCCTTCACCCTATTAAAGCTCATAAAGAATACAAAAAGCATATAAACAACATGCAGAACATTAAAACATATTTGGGTACAAATAGGATGAGATGGTATTTTCAATAAAGGTCACTTAGCAAAGTTTTCTAAAAAAAAAAAAAAAAGATATATTTATAGAAAACTGTAAGAAAATTTAAACACTTTAAAAAAAATTTAAATTCAAAAGATTTTTTTTATTAAAAAAAATAATAACAGAACTTCTTCATAAAAAATTCTATAAATAATAGCTATAAAAAAAGGCTAAAAAAAATGACATATCTCAAAATCATTGTTCAAACCATATGGGATCCGTGTATTAAGTTCAAATATCCATCTTGTCTCTATTTGTCCCAGTCTTTTAGTAAAGTCCTCCCCTCTGCAGTTCTTTTTCACCTTTGAATACCTTTGAATTTCAAACTAGAGCGGTCTGCATTATGTTTGTCTCTATAATGCTTGGATACTTGGTGTTGGGCATATTTTCTTTTTATGTTAAATATGTGCTCCCCTATTCTTGTCTTAAGTGGTCTAGTGGTACTCTCCACATAGCTGAGACCACCATGTGAGCACATATATAACATTATTTGTATTACATGTTACGCGGTCCTTTATGTAATATTTTCAAATTTTATCAGTAAATTCTTTTATACAATGCCTATGTGTGTTTGTTTCTTGACATGCCCTACATTTCCCACAACCATAGAAATCCTCATATTGCTTCAGAAAATTCATTTATTTTGACCTTTCTTCCTGTTTCCCAATAATGATATTTGTTATGGTCCTTTTTACATTGGGTACTGTTCTATGAATAATTTTAGTTGGTAGAACTTCATTAAAAATAGGGTGTTTAAGTAATTTTACTTTATATTCTAAAAGGGTTTATCTCTCCATGTTAAACACTTGTTCCACAGCCCTCTCTAATGGCTTTGATGAATGAAAGTGCTAGTGTCAGTGAAGATTTATTTTATTCTGATTAGCTGACTGTGACAGACCGCTGGCACTCCGACCGAGTACCTCCGCCAATCGATGCTCCTATTGCTTGCCAAGGACTCCAAGCACTCCACCAGACACCAAATGTGATGGTCCAACCTTCTCTGACCCTCTTGGGTTCCCTTTCTCCCTGTAGTTAGTGAATAATCCTTCCAGGCAGAGTGTAGACACAAGCATAGCATAACCCCTCACGCATGAGCCGAGGCTTAACCCCTTAAGACCACAGGGCATTCTATGCCATGCCTATTTGGGCGGCTCTAAACGCTGCAAGGCGGCATAGTACGCCCTGGGCGGTCTTGCCTCCCACGTGGCCTGCGGCACATGGCCGCTGCAGATGGCGGTAGGGGGGCATGCCTGGCCCCCAAGGCAGCCCCCCTGTGGCTGGGGACCGTGGTCTGCAGCTTCCGATCGCAGTGACAGGCTGTCACTGCGATCGGTATTTACCATGTGTCAGCCAATTTTAAAATCGTCTGACACATGGAGCCGCGGCATTTACCTGCAGCAGATTGCAGTCGGGGTACATACCTGGCCCCCCAGGCAGTCCCCCTGCGGTCAGTGACCACGATATGCTCTGCCTTATTGCAGTGATAGGCTGTCTCTGCGATCTGAATGCAGAGACAGCCTGTCATTGTGATCAGAGTTACTATGTGTCAGCCTATTGGCTGACACCTGTAACTACAGGCAGGATCCCCCTGCAGATCACGGTGGGGGGCATGTCTGGCCACCCAGGCACTCCCCCTGTGGCCAATTACCGCGATCTGCAGGAGGTGATCACAGTGACATCCAGGCACTGTGATCACTGATCCTGTGTGTCAGCCAGTGATGTGAAATCACTGGCTGACACTGTCTCTGCCCCTCTCCTGTTATAAAAATAAAATATTAGTTAAAAAAAAAAAATTACATTTACAAATAAAATATACTTAGATCATATATATTATATATATGATCTAAGTATATATATATATATATATATATATATATATACACACAAACATTTACACATACACTAAGTGTATTTTAATATTATATATAATTATATATATATATATATTAATATCAAAATACACGTGGAAGATATTGATTAAATATATATATATAATTACAATTATATATATTTATATATAATAAAAAAATATGTAAATATGATAAAAAGTAAAAATAAAAAAATAATAAATAAATAAAAAATATATATGTGTAATTTCGTTCTAACCTTATTTTGATAATAATATATATATATATATATATATATATTGATATCAAAATACACGTAGAACGAAATAATATATATATCTATATACATAAGTATATGTGTAAATATCACTATATGTTTACCTATATATAAATAAAACATTTTCTTTTTTTATTGAGAACTCCTGTTCGGGTGCCTTTTTCAATTAAAGGACCACTATAGTGCCAGGAAAACATACTCGTTTTCCTGGCACTATAGTGCCCTGAGGGTGCCCCCTCCCGCCCGGCTCTGGAAGGGGGAAAGGGGTTTAAACTTACCTTTTTCCAGCGCTGGGCGGAGAGCTCTCCTCCTTCTCTCCTCCTCCGTTACGCCCCGTCGGCTGAATGCGCCGTAGCGGCAAAGCTCTTGTAGCGCATTCAGCCGGTCGCATAGGAAAGCATTCATAATGCTTTCCTATGGACGCTGGTGTGCTCTCACTGTGAAAATCACAGTGAGAAGCACGCAAGCGCCTCTAGCGGCTCTCAATGAGACAGCCACTAGAGGCTTCGGGGGAAGGCTTAACCCATTAATAAACATAGCAGTTTCTCTGAAACTGCTATGTTTATTAAAAAATGGGTTAACCTTAGCTGGACCTGGCACCCAGACCACTTCATTAAGCTGAAGTGGTCTGGGTGCCTAGAGTGGTCCTTTAATGCAGCAACTTTATTCCTAATGGCAGATGTGGGGTCTGATTAAATTTTTTTATAGTTATTTTCATCATTAAGAAGTCTATATGCTTCTTCCAGATAATAAGAACGATTCATGACTACTGGCTGTGCACGCGTGTGACGTCAGGGCGCGATGACGCGTTTCGTTGGCATGCCGGCATACCGGTGAAATGCGTCATCACGCCCTGTTGTCACACGTATGGACACATGCAACGTTCGTCACACCCTCCAGAAGTATTGGAGTCCAACTACCTGTTTCCCACAGCCGTCAGTGGTAAGACCCAGGAAGAACTCTATTGGTGGGGTGAGAGGCTAAAAGCGAATTCGGCTAGTTGATACTGTTTTTAAAGTGTTATAAGAAATATTGGATTTTTACCACAGCAAAGTCCATAGTGGTATATCCTGAGGTTTTTACAGTCAGAGCAGGCTCCTCTGCTCTACACTTGTGAGTGTTCGCTTCTGAAGCTTAAATACCTTTCTAAATTTACTGTGCAATATTGCCCTATGAGGTTGTTGTTTTTTCTTTTATTTTCATGTGTACCTTCTATGTGGAGTCAACTCATACTAATGTATATTGTGTGTAAGTAAAGTGTGGCACTTTACACTGCTCTTTTGCACAAAAACTGCAACACTTTATTGTTATATATTTATTGCACTAGTGCACATTTATTTTTGCAATTTAAGATATATGCACTTTAGCAAATAACATTTATACAAGGATTTTATATATTTTACTAAGTACACGTCTTAAAGACACAGCGCACCTTTTTTTGTTTTTAATATTGTACTTAGTACTTGAGTGTCATACACTGTGTGAGGTGCAGCTTCATTTGAATGTTTCTTTGGTCTGTTTATTAGCGTTATTGTTACTTGAATTTGTCTGTTTTTGTTTTAGTACTATAGTCTTGTATGTCTGTTTGGTATTTCCGCTGTTTAGTTGAAATAACTTCTTTTTCTGTTTTATCCAGTTTTATCCAATTCTAAGCCATGACAAACTCTGATATTTTTCACCAGGTTTCTATGTATTGTAATTTTAGTTGGTGAGACTAAAAAAGTCTCTTAGGCCAAATCAGTGCTTTTGCCCTAATTTCAAAATGTTAAGGACAAATAATATCAATATAGCTTTAATACACTTACTCTGGAAAATAGAATAGAGCATAACTAATCTGAATTGCTAAGGCAGTTTTTTAGCCTTCTGCACCATAATCTACCCCCATTTTAATGATCTATCCCTTAAATCACCCAACAGATTTTGATATTACACCTTATTGCCGAGGATACCATGTTAAGTACTTTTTATGAGGAGAACGTCAGGGACACTATTAATCACTTATGCATCATTACCAGTCACTTACACATTCTGTAAAAATTTGCAGACTTTTTAACATTCTGGAAAACACAAGAACATTGCACTGGGAAGACACTCAGATCTGAACAAATTATGTTATTGTTGGTGAATATACAATATCATTAGGAAAGACTGGAACCAATACTCATTGATGCCCACCAGAGGTGGCTCTAGACTTTATGAGGCCTTAGGCGAAACTCAAACATGAGGCCCCACTAACAAAAAAGTGTCACATATACACATTGAGGCACTGTCTACCTGTGTATGACAGAGAGTATCAGACAGAGAGTATCCTTGTGTGTGTGAATGTATGTCTCTGTGAGCATGTTTGCGTTTTTGTCTGAGACCATATGTGTATGGGGTAGCTGCTTGAAGTGTGTTGTGTGTATGGGGGGGTGATGGTGAAAGGGAGAGGGGGGTGATGGTGAGAGGGAGAGGG